TCTGCTTTCCCTTCCTCAGCATCCCTGTGGTGCTCATGGGAGCTGCACAGATCCATTGCTCCTGAAAACCAGACCCTGTGCCTGTCACTTCAGAGTGTGCCCAGTGACCTGTGTTTCATGTGTCATCACCTGATAGGCCAGTGGGAGATGAGGATGCTGCAGTGAGAAGAGATGAGTGGTGGGAGGAACATGTCTGCACCCTTCACACAGCGAGTCGGGACATGGGGATGTCGGGTAGGGAAGGTATGTGTTTTCTGAGCTGCCTAGTTGTAGTTTTCTTGTTTCATCAGAAAACCCTGACTTTTCCATTGAGAAGGCAACCCAGAGCTCTGCCAGAGGGACTGTGTCTTGGCGGTGTTCAGTTGTTGCCTTATGATCCCTTTTCCGCTCCTTTTAACACCCAGCAGTTCCCTTTCCAGCACTTCATACCAAGGGCTGTCTGATTATTCCTTGTGACGGGTGTAAAAACGCCTGGATCCATGGCAGCCCTGCTGCAGCAAACCTCCTGTGAAGGGGGAGCTCTCATTGCAGACAAGGAGCCAGATTTCCGTGGAAACCTGCACTGTTCCAGACCCTGGACAGGCCGCAGGTTCAACAGCAGGGCTCTGTTCTCCTGACAGACACTCAAAGGCAGATTTTCTTTTAATTAGATATGAAAATCTATAATGCAGTCAGCATGACGCCTCTTGGTATGTTTATTTTTATACCCCATCTATTTGTTTTGTTCTCAAATGTGCTTCTGCTGAGAGGGAAGCTTCCATACTGACCATCTGTATATGAGGAGTGAATGGGACTGAAGGACTGGGAGAGTGGGACAGAGGTCAGTTTTGGTTTTCATTATCTGAGTGGACATCATTTACAGTTGTGGAATAAACACACCAACTGGTCTTTTCCTTAAAATAATACTGAAGTTGCAAAGTTGACATTTTTAAGCTGTTGTCCAGTGAAGTATTTCATCCCTCATATAGTTAACGCTTCACTTTCTCTCTCTACACTCAGAAAAAAATATTTATTGTTTCAGTAATATTCTGCCAATATTTTCTTATTTTTCTCTGCAGCCAAAGGGCAAAAAGCATTTAATTTCCCCAGCATGAAGATAATGCCATGAGTCCCAGCTCTGTGGAGGAAGCTGTTTGGCAGGACTGCTCAAGAGCCTCTTCCCCAGGTATGGATTCCTTCAGGCTCTTAATTCCTCTGTGTCTCCCAGCTTTAGCTCATTCTTCCTCTTTGGCTTGCTATTTTTCCTTTTGACCACTTTTCTATGCTCTAAGGTCAAGGGTTTTCCGTATGGAAAGAAGTTTAGCCCCTCCTAGCCTTTCTTGTGCCATTTGCCCGCCTGGCATCACATGCCCCATACTAAGCCTGGCAGTGCTTGGGCATGCAGGCACCACCAATAGTGAGGATGTTCTCCCTTGATTCCCACCCAAAAGAAGAGCACGTTTCCCATCTCCTCAGGCTGATGCTCGGACTGGACAACCTCCTCTCCCTTCACATGCTTGCACACAGGACAAGAGAGGGCTGTGCACCCCACGCTCCCACTGCCATGTTCCCATCCTGGTGCTGCCATTCTGCAGCTGGAGCCAAGCATGGCAGAGACAATGTGCTGGAGCATTCTGTCTGAGGGGAGTTCGGGGAGGGGAGAGGGAAAAAGGCTGTTAGATCTATCGCTGGCAATTTAGATTCAGAGACATTTCATCTGCAGTTCCCTCAAGTGTTGAATTGAATAAAACCAGCAGCAGCGGTGGAAAAGAAGGTGGGGGAAGGGCTTCGAGCACTCTCAGCTAAACAAAAAGAGACAGGCAGCTCATAAAAAAGGAATTGCATCCTTGGGCTGAAAATCTGGATTCACAGGGCAGAAGGGGAGGGCGCGTGGCAGAGCCCATCCGTGGCCAGGGGCCAGGCAGTGCTGCCAAGGGCTTCTGGTGCTCCCACAGCAAGAGCAGATCACAGGGCTTACTTCTGGGTTTCCTGATTTTCTGTGGATTTTTGAAGCTCCCGTTGTAGAATCAAGCAGGAAGAACAGAGTCCCAGGCTTCAGTTGCAATTTAAAAAAACCCCAATACTTCACTTTCCAGTGCTTCAGGAGAAAAGCACAAAAGTGAAACCCTCAAGGGTCAAAAATTCAGAAGAGCAAGTAACTTAGCACTTATAATTTTGTAAACAGTTGCTGTTGAGGGCCAAACTCATCATTCTCAAACACAGCTGTGGGATGGTAGAACTGTCCTCACCATTAGATGTTTCTGTTCCTCTGCCTTTAAGGGAATTGTTGCTGGTGGCTGTTCTGGCTATGCACTGCAGCACTGGATTTCTCTGGGTTTGTCCCATTCCCTGGGTGTCAGGTGAGTATGGCTTTGACAGGAGCACTCAGCCCAGCCAAGGGTGGGAGGAGAGCAACAGACATCAGAGAGAATTGGGTTATAGCAGAAAATAGAGCCTTGGGGTCTTTGCTGCCTTGTGTGAGTGTGATGCCAACACCTCTGTGGTGCTGTAGGGCTGACTGTGACTGCCCTCAGGCGGGAAGGCAGGCCTTTTGTTTGCCTCCTCTCCCCATCTTCTTTATTACTCTCCTGCTCCCTTGTAACACCTTAGTGACAGATCCTTATGCTTTGCTCAGCCCTGCTTCAGACCAGGTACAGGTGTGCATGCAGAGAGCATGTGCTCAGCCCTCCCTGCTTCAGAACAGGTCAGACCCCACAGCACTGAGTGACCCTGTGGTACAGCTGGGCAACCCAGGCAGGTGTGTGACACGGGGCTCATTGTGACTTGGTCAAGTGCTGTGTTTGTGTTACAGTGTCCCCTGCCTTAAAGTGTCCCCTGCCTTCACAGTGCACCTATGGAATCCCATGTGAAACACAAAGGTGAGACCAGGGTGAGGAGTTGGGACTCCTCAGGACAGCACCGACACCTTCCCTTCATGTCACTTCAACTGTAAAACAGGGGTCATGATTGTGTCACCAGGATTTGGGAATCTGATTAGCTACAGCCTGTAAAAGACTGAACCAGACTTACTGTGAATCCTGGACCAGAGAGCAGAGAACAGGAGAGTCTGTCTCATAGGCATCTATTTATGCTGCCCTGGTTTTCTCCCTGTGCTATCGATCCAGCAGCTTGCTAAGATACAGCCCTGCCTGCTGTAGTGGTTTAATTCATTTTTAAGCACCATTATTTTTCATGTTGTGGTCTTCCCCTGCTTGGGGTGCTTCTCACTGCCCATCCCCAAAAATGTCCATTCCTGTCTGTCTCTAGGCGTGCGCTGCTCCCACATGTGTGTGTGCACACCAGGGAGATGGAGAGGCAGCTTCAGCTACACTAAGCAATTAAACTCCGGTAGCTCAGGGATGAGCAGGAGGCCGTGATTTTCTTTTCCTTCGCAGTAATTGCCTCTGCAATCAGCTTTGATCACCCGAGAGCAGAGGAGATGAGTGCTGCAAGTTGACATCAGTGGTTTTAATATATCCATTTACATATACAGGAGCAGTGCAGCATACAGCTTTCCATAGCGCCTCTGACCTGAAACCATCGCCGCTCCATAGACACCTCATTTAATTTAATACTTCACCGCCACTGCGGAAGCCACAGGATGGGGATGGGAGGGGGGATAATCAAGCCCTCACTCTCTCGCTCTCCGTGAATGTCTGTAAAAATGACATGAAAGTAATTGCTTTTGAAAAGCAAAGCAGAAATGGCACAATTGATTCCACTTAAATGAGAGGAAGGGGTGGGGGTGGGGGATGCTCACCCTAAACATGCCACCTTCTTTCCTGCTGTAAGCACATCACTGCGTGGGGCTATGTGGGGACAGAGGAAAGGTGGGCTTGTCTGAATGGTATGTGGGGAAGGAGGGAAACTCAGGCAAGCAGTGCTGCTTTGGGCAGGATGCACGCCCTAGCGAGCTTGGACTCACAGGCAGATGCTGCTCCATGGAGCCTTGTGACATCCCTTGTTGTCACAGGCACTCCTGGTGCTGGGGAACTGGCAGGGACCCTCATTGCATTGAAAATCCTAGAATCACTCTGCCTCCCAAACACACTCACCTGCCTGGCAGCTGGGGGAAGGGGAATGGTGAGGAGACATCAGCTCCTCTCCATTTCTCATCTATCTCTCATTATCCCTGTTGACAAAGCTTTGCGAGCCCATGGCTTTGGAATCTATCCAGACTGCTGCTGGTGGTGGGTGCCCACCCTTCTGCCCAGGACCTCCCAATGCCCGCTCTGTGAGCTGCCCAGCACAACCCTCTGTGCCCCTATCTGCAGGAGCCGGGACCTGGCTGTGCCAAGGTGTGGCCCTCCCAGTGCCATGCCGGCCCCGCAGGCCACACACCACCTCTGTGTGCTACAGTGCATTTTTAATGTAGACATTAACATCATTTCATGTTAATTACATGCAAATTGATTATTAATGTATTTATTGAATGTTGACAGCTGGGTGACAGTCTTCAGTAAATATGTTTTACTAATCAGTTAGCATCTAATTAATATCAAAATCCTCTCTAGGTTTAACAAGAGTCAATGAACACTGATGAGGCCCCTCTTGCTGCCAGTGTTAGTGGATGCCAGCAGCACTGTGCCCAGCAGCAATGTGGGGCACAGCTGGGCTCAGGGGGGCCAGGGACAGTGGCACTGCTGGCAGGACAGACAGACACGTGCTCCGAGGAAGAAGCCTCTGGGAGATGACACTCTTGGGAGAGCCTCCCCCCATGAAGCATGGCTCTCCCAAAGGAGGGAGTGCTGCCAGCTGGAGCTGAGGTGGTGGTGGCCAAGCAGTGTCCACAGGAAGCTCTGGAGGCCCCTTTTCCCAGGGCACAGCGCTGCTTCTGGACACACCTGGGCAGCAGAAGTGAGATGCTGTTCACAGCTGCAGTGTCAGTGTCGCTGCACGCAGGACCCTTGGTTATGGCAGGGCATGGCACAGTCTGCAGCCAGCAGCACAGAGGAGTTCTTGTGCTAAATTAAACCACCAAGCAGACCAATTCCTGAGCTGCTTGGCCAGCATTTTCTCTTACCTCCCTATTCTGAGCAGGACAGGAGCCACGCAGAGCCAGCTGGTTGTGGCTCCTCTCACCCATCTGAAGAAGGTGAGCAAGGATCCCTGAGGTATCCATTGCCAAGTCATCGGGAGAGTGGCTTCGCCTCAGGACTGTTGCCGCACTGGGTCAATATTCTAGTCTTGTTGTGCTAGTGCTCCTTAGTTGACATCCATGATCCTTCCCTGCTCCCACCCTGTGTAAACTCCTTACACCTGGAACACCAAGAAGTGAAAATGCTGAGCCCTCAGAGCTGCTCCTGTTCAGGCAGGACAGGAGGGGGTGGCCAGACTGTGGGGTACTTGAGCCCCTTCCCCTCTGCTCCAAGGACAGCGCAGGGGAAATGCCTGAAGAGCTCAGCACACAGCCAGAACAGCAGCTGGGTGTTTAGTTACTGGTTAGAATAACTTTAGTCTTGCTCAGCTGCTCTTTGCTTCCCTCACCCAGGCAGTCTGATACCCCTCCATGAGCAGAGGCAGGTGCCCTGGTGCAGTGGAGTCTCTGCCTTCCCTGAGTTGGACATGTCTGGTTGCTGCAGGTGAGCATGTCAAATCACACCTACCATATTGGCTTCCTGTCCCCAGAACATCAGATTTTTGCAGCTGATGTGTGGGGGGGTGTCTACTCCTGCCAATCCCCACCCCCAGCAGCATCAGGCCTGTGCTGTTCGGGGTTTTGTTAAGCCGTTTAGTATTAATTGATTTTTTTTTCCATTTTTTCTTTCTTTCCCTGGGCGGGTCAATAGCTGGATGCTCAAGAGCAGAGGATCTATCAACTGCAGACCAAGCAGAGGGAGAGGCAGGCAGAACTGGAGCAGAAATGCAGCCGGACGAGCAGCTCAGCCAGGACCTGGGGGCCAGTCACCAGCTGCGGGAGGGAGCTCGGAGCAGGTAGGAGAAGATGCCAGCCTGGTATAGCTTGGAAGCCCAGGCTGGGAAGGGAACTCTGATGCATTCACAACAATAGTGATAATCTGCTGCTCTCATTTACATGGTAGCATAAGAAAGGGCTGAAAATGCGAGAGTAGAGTCCGTCACCTCCCAGTGAGGAGGGGAAGGTTGAGGGCAGCAGGGAGATGGCCACAGCTCTGCTGGCTGTAAATGGGTGCTGGGATCGCAGTTGGTGTGGGGGTGTGATGGCTGTCATGCACAGATGTCCTGGGTGTTGCTCCTGCTGCTGACCTCGGAGAGATGGGAACAGGGTGGCCGCAAAGACACTGCCGCAGGACAGCACTGTCCTGGCTGGTGGTGACAGTGACGTGCCGTGAGCCAGGAGATGAGGCTTGCTGAGACCTGTTCAGCTATTTTGCTGTGGATAAAACCCTCAGTTTGTTCCCGGACATCAGGGTAGGAGCACCCTCATTTCCTGCTGGAGGCCTGCTGGGCAGCCTGGGCCAGTCTGCTCCATGCTGGGTCTGTTTGCCCCTGTGCTGCTACAGACCCCCTCTCCTACCCCTGTGTTTCAGAAGCTGTAGGAGTCAGACTCTTTGCTCAGTGTGTTCCTCTGGCATGTGAGCCTGGCTTGGGAGAGCACAGTTGCTCCCGCCTCTGCAGCCATCTGGCTGTCTGCCTGATGTCTGCTTGGGCACCGGCATTCCACGGCATTCCTCAGTGTATTCTGACCACAAGCTCTCATTCGGATCCACATGGCAAACAGGGGTGAGGAGAGCTGGTCCTGGAAACCTGGGCAGCTGCTGCCACGCACTGCAGCATTACTTGCTTAACCTGTACCCCCTTGTTGTCCCCTTCAGCACCGCATAAGATGTTAAAAAAAAGTGTCTATTTTAACAACTTGATAGTTAAATATGCTCAGGGTTCTAGTAGAATAAACCAGGTACTTTTGACATCGAAGCACCAGGTGGTGCTGGATGGCAGGTTGAACTCAGCAACGCTGGTTTGTCTGAGCAGCAGCTCACTGCGCAGCATTTAAAATCAGGATGGGGGGTCCCTTTTATTAGTCAAAGGGGAAACATTTTGTTTCATTTAATGTGGTGGTGATTAATATATTCATATGAATATGTTCATATATAGAGAATAATACATATATTGCATCATATATGAACACAATGCACTGATTACATTCATTGCATTTGAAGGAAGGTAATGAGATGTTGTTCCATTTACTCCCACATCATCCATTGTTCTGTGTGTGAGGAGCCAGCCCAGCGCGTGGGCTGAGCTGTGCGCGGTGAGCCCTCGCTCCGACTGCCCACAGTGAAGGCAGGAGCAGGACGTGTGTGCCTTTGTCTGTGTGTTTGGATGGAGGAGTTCTGCACATGCATATGGGTGACTGTCTGCTGATTTGTGCAAGCCCAGCATGGGAGGGTGGGAATCACACTCTGTTTCTTCTTATTCCCTTCCCATCTCCCCATCCATTGATACCAAATTCAGCTGAGTTTCACTCCTGGTTTTGGTGTGAAAGTGGCAGATAAAACAGCCCAGCTCTCAACTTTCTCTTACAAAACTCCCAATTAAAGTACTGAGCATCAAGCCCTGTTACATAAAAATATAACACAATTCTGTGGCAGAACAGTGTTCCACCTGGCTCTGTGTCTGGCAGCAGCTTATGCCCCTGCCTGGGAAGGAGCTCTTTTCCCCTGGGAAAAGCAGGAGAAATTTGTGATATCACCACAAGACGCTCACCCACCTTCTGTGGTGAAAGGGCTTCCTGAGCCCAAGCAGGAGTCTTTGTGTTTAACAGCCCTTGAGGAATTTTCATCTCTAACTTGTCAAACTAATTTTGTAACTCAGATCTTATCCAACTTCTGCAATGTCCTGTAGCAGCGAGTTCCCCTGCTTGACCACGCATGGGATGAGAAGCCAACTCCTTTGGTTTGTTTTGAACCTGTCCCCTGACAATTTCCACTGTTTTATTGGAAGAGACCATGAACAGTCACTCCTTAGTCACCTTCCTGTGACACTTCTGATTTTATAGACCTCTGTCATATTTCCTTCCCATCATCCTTCTTCCAGACAGAAGGGCTCCAATATATTTTTCTGAGCCAGCCCCAGTTGCTGATAAATCTCCTGGTGTGGGGGCTCAGGGCTCCCAAGGCTGGTGGTCCCGGGTGCCTGCAGCAGGCAGCACACACCAGGAGTCCTCTGCAAGGAGTGCCAGGTGTAATTTAACACGGGGAGCATGAGTTATGGTCCTGCCCTTTACGGAAAGGCTGGCAGCGCAGCCCTGCCTGTCATCTCAGTCCCCCACCTGATTGTGAGCTTTCCTGGTGAATGAATCAGGATTTGGCATATCGTTCTTTAATACAGCCCCCATGCTAATGTCTTTTTGAAATGAAACCGAGAAAGCTGTTAACCTCAGTTAGCCAGCTGTCCTCACCGTGACCTGGATAAATCATCCAAGCAGGAGCGCCGAAGAACACTGCTCTGGCTGCTTTGGAAAATGGAGCTGGAAGGGAAGGACTGTGCTTTCAGCTCATGCCAGGAAGACTCCTCTGCACCAGGACTGTGCAGCAAAAGGACCATTGTGTTCTCACACTAGGGACCCTGATGGGGCTCCAGGCTGTGTGTCAGGTCCTGCAGACAAGTCCACTGGCACGCTCCCTCCCTGGCAGACACTGAGGAGTTGTGGTGTCACACCACAGGTGGGAGAAAGGCAATGTGTTGTATCTGGAGAAGAGAGGGTGGCTTCCCACAGGGACCCCAGAGACTGGTTCCTTTTGCCCCTGCCACCGGGCACATCTCACCATCCAGCCCCTCCTCATGACCATCTGGTTGTCCACGTTCCTTCCCTTCAGCTGGAGGCTGGATTTTCCCCAGGGATATCTCCTTCATCACATCTGAAGGCAGCTGGCTTTGAGCTGATGCCTCTGGGGTATGAAAGGAGATGAAGAGGACAGTTTGGTGGCTGCCCCCAGAAGAAATGAATCTACAGGAGTAGGGCATTTCTCTCCATGGGCTGTTGTGACTCTGGGAGCTGTTATCTTTATAAAGGCCTTGTTACTTCATCTGCTCTCACAGGGCACTCATAGATGTTGCTCTGTGTGGTAGGGAGTTCTACTAGACAGGGTTTCTTTTGTTATTTATGATCTGGCTGTTTTGTTGGTTTTGTTCTTATTTTTAATTTTTGCATGACCGAGGAAATTCGCAACACCAGCTGTATCTAAGAAACTCCTGGAAGGAAGAACAAAGCCATCTGTTCTCCCTGTCCATGAAGGAACACACAAGAACTAATGGCCAGAGCCTGCATCAGAACAGATCCGGGTTAGGAACAGTTTTCTAAAGGGGAGGAGAACAGAACAGGTGACAGACTGCCAGGCTCTGAGGATCTTGCATTACAGGAGAGCTTTAAGGACAGATACACAATACACACAGCACTTGCAGGTTCCCCTGTCTCAGAATTGGAAGATGGACTATCAGTCTCTTGAGGTTCATGCCAGCCTTGCTCATTTCCTAAATCTATCCCTGTTCATACTTTGAAACACAGCTCTACCTTTCCCAGAGCCCCACCACATCACCTTCAGTGTTGCCCCTTTTACTGCTGACCTGCCTGGTGCCAGGTTCCCCAGGAGGCAGAACATGTGCTGTAACATGCTGAAAGGAGCAAGCAGAGCCTGGAGGATGTCAGTGGGTGATGAAGGCTCCGATACCACCATCTGCATGACATGTGCCGCTGTGCCGCAGGCTTTGGCCGGAGCAGTGCAGTCCCACCCGTGGTGGGGAACACAAGAGTGGATGAGGCAGAGATGGGAGGATAGATTTGCTATCAGAACTTTTGGATTCAATTTTCCTTCTCATCAGAATAGCTGCGTGCAGTTTCTTACATGTGCTGCTCTGCAAATGAGTTGTGCAGGACATGGCTGCAGTCAGAGACCACCTGGGGAGCATGGTCGGTTTGGGGCTCACAGCTTGGCTATGCAGGGTTTGGCCCAGGCACCACTAGGGCAGAGTCTGGCTGATGTACGGGGCTCAGCTCCCTGGAAGCTGTAGGATTTTGCTGCCTTTGGCCTTGCCCCACTATGCAAGGGCAGCCATGGAGCATCCTCAGAGGAGGGTGGAATGGTCACAGGCACAATACCCTACACCATGTACCCTATACCATGTACCATATACCAGACACTCGCAGACATCTCATCACTGTCAGCAGAGAGACAGGGACAGAAACACATGGCCACAACAGCCAGGGGAACTGTGAGCCAAGGTGAGCCGTTATTTGTGTAGACACCAGCAAGGAACCCCACCGGGCACCTGGATCTGAGAGTCAGTTCTACAACACAGGCATTAAAGAGGGAATAAAGAAAATAATAGAGCATTGACTAAAATGGTCGGCAAGGCTGATTTCTCTCCATGCAACCTCTGAAGGAGCAGACTTTGGGGCTGGGGAGGAATAGGCAGCCTCCAGGCTGTGAGGCTAATGCAGAACCATGGCTGTTTGTATAGCTGCAGAGCCTTTAAGAGAGACTTGGGAAAACTAGCTTGGATTCCAATGAATATTTACAATTACATTGCTCCAAAGCTGAATCCAATCACAACACTGCAGTGTGCAGGCTTTGTGCATCAAAAGAAAATGAGAGGAAAGCAGGAAAGATGGAGTTGCCTTTGGAGGGACTTATAAACACAGATCTCTCTGCTTGTGGCAGAACTAAAATGCTTTATTTCTGATAGGAGCAATTTGTTCTTCAGGCATTTTGCTTGATATTAGAAAGTGCCTGGCTGGTTTTTGAAGTGAGAGTCTTCAGTAGAAGGTCTTTAATTCAGAATGAAGGAAAGAAATGGAAAGTGTTGTGGTCTGTAATTTTGATATTGTACTAATGAACTCCAGAAATAGAGGAAATAGGGGAGCATTACCAAACTAGAGCAGGGGCCCCTTCCACTCACTGTGTTCTTGGTCACCACGTAGAACCAGGCTGGGCATTTAAACCATGCTGCTAATATGGAATTTGGCTGGTTACTGTGCCGGCTAAGCACTCACTGTAGCTCAGTATTTGCCTCTTCTTTCTTGTAGTGGAAGGTATGCAAAAATAATGGTGATCAGGAATCACCTTGATAAAAAGATGGAGGATTTGTGATTGCACTGCAGAGAGCAGTGTGCCGCAAAATAGGAAGTGTGTGACAAAGCAGAGGCACTGCTTGAAGTGACAACAGGAACAGCACCATGCAACTGACTCCAGGAGCTGCTTTAGTGGCCTGTCCATTCTGCCCATCCTGCCCAGGCAACCCATGCAGCTGCCTTGCTGCTCTAACCTACAGGACTGTAAACAATCAGTGGTCTTGGTGTGGTCCCACAGCACAAAACCCCCACTGCTCTCAATTAATTTTAAGTATTTAAGGTATAGCATTGCATTCCACCATGCAGACATTGCTTAGCACCACAGTAGCACAACAGCAGGAGCTTTGAGAGAATCAGGTTAGGATTTACACCGCAAGAACATGCAAATTGTTTGCCACAGTGTCTGCTTACAAGCCCAGCTGACCTGGGAAAGCCATATCTGAAGGGCAAGCCCCCTCCTTCCCCACAGCCCAGCAGGCAGCATGTCCCACCCTGGACAGAAGGCAGTGGGGGGCTGCTTCTAGCTTGCACTAATTCCTCTCCGTGGTTTGAAGAAAATGCTGTCTCCTGGTGCCTGTCACCTCGTGGCTGCACAGATCTCTGCTGCTGGCTGGCAATCTGAAAGGATGCTGGTGGGAAATCCCGGGAAGCTGGTTTCTGATCTGAATCAGTCACACTGCTGGTGCAGGGATGCACTCCATCACATGCAGGCATGGCACAGGGGGTTCCATGCACCTTGGCACAGGCTGCAGTTGATAGCCCTGAGTAGGAACCCGCAGTCAGTATTATATTGTCTAAGAGGCTTAAAATCAACTGTGAAGTTTCAGCATAGCTACAAACCCCCTGTTTTCTGTTTCTCCACTGGTAGCTTGTTCCAGAAGATGGTGCAATTTGGTGATTGATTCCTGGAGTCTGGCTGGTGCATCTGCACTGGGGTATAGAAGGCACAGACCCTGCCGTGATGCCCAGAACACTCTGCCAGTGCCAGCCACACACAGCTCACAGCTCCAGAAGCAGAAGGGGAGCATTCCATCAATGTGAGTGGATATTTTTCTCCCATTAAAATGTTTAATTTATTTTTGAATGCACATGAACTTTGAGGGCCCACCATACCCTGTGTGAAGCAGTCTGACACAGCACATGACATTAAAAAAAGAACTCTTTTTTGTTTTGTGATTATTACCTGCTAATTTATGGGGTGCTGCTGGTTCTTATACTGAAGGGACAAAGAGAAATCATACTGCAGACAAGTTCTATTTGCCGAACTTGATACTATAATTGTCTTCAGTCATTTCTTTTCCAGTCTAAAAAGACTATTCACCTTTTCCTCACATGGAAAATACTCTTTGCATTTGATCATCCTTGTTGCTCTTCTCTGAAACTCTTCCAACTCTTTTTCTAGAGAGAGGCAGACAAAGCTGCATATGGAAATCACAGCGCACTTCCACCATGGATCTCTTCAGTGGCAGAACTGTGATCTGCTCTGCATTATTTTTCTGATAATTGTTAACAGGCAGTTTGCCTTTTAGGCTGCTCCTGGGCACTAAGCAAATATTTCCACACCTCTATCTCTCCATCCCCATCTGGTTGTATCTAGCAGAGCTCCAGGCCCTCACTCCCGAGGAGGAACAGAGCTACAGCAGCTGGGACTGCAATGATTTCTTGTGAGCAAGATGGCGCAAACATCCCAGATCCTGAGTAAGATTAGGCCTACCTGGCTGTGTCATACCTTGGAGACTGGTATAGTCTGATAAACATTGAAAAAAGAAGAAATACTGATACATGGTCAGCCTCACCACACTGCAGACCTGGACTCTTCCAGGCAGGTCTACCCTCAAGTATCTGCCCACCTGAGGGGCTGAGTAACCCTGTGGGGAGAGCTCGGGAGCCAGCTTTTCACCAGAGCCAGGCAGAATAGCCAAGAAGGGCCCATATTTGCCCTGCACTTGGACATGGAGCCTCCTTAGGCAAAATGCCTGTGCCTGTGGAGTCTTTTCCCTCCAAGACCTCACCTTCACCATCACATGGAACACTAAGGTCATTGTGGTACAGGCACAGGAGCACCAGTGGCCCAGGGACACAGGGACAACCCAAGTGGCCCAGGGACAGGCAGCCCACATGGGGCAGGGGTGAAGAGCAGCTAGCCCCATCACCCAGGCGTTATGGGACCTCTCACCGCCCATCACAGGCATGGCTCCGCAGGGAACATTGCTGGAGCCAGATGGATCAGCACTGGCATGAAGTCCTACCCAAGAGCACAAATAACATCATGTTCTTGTGGTCCTCCTTTGCACTTCCTTCCTGCAGATTCCCAGGATGAGTAGGAATGGATTGGGCAGCCTGATCTCCTGCATCTGCAGCCAAGGAAATTTCACTGTGTTACTGTGGAATTCAGAACTTGTCTGACTAAGGCAGTTTCAGATGGGCATTCAGCTGGGCTTGAAGACATCAAGAGACAGCAAAAGCATTACGTCCTCCCCTGGCAGGTAGTCCCTTCGCATCACTCCTACTGATTTTTTTTCTCTGATTACTGCTATGCCAACAGGGCTAATGAAGCTTTCTATGCAGCAGCAGTATAACTCTCAACTTTGTTTCCTTTTGTTTTTATGCTTTGTATTAAAATGCTCCTCTCTTTTTGGCCAGAGACTTAAGGTTAACCAGGGAAAGGGAAAGGGAAAGGGAAAGGGAAAGGGAAAGGGAAAGGGAAAGGGAAAGGGAAAGGGAAAGGGAAAGGGAAAGGGAAAGGGAAAGGGAAAGGGAAAGGGAAAGGGAAAGGGAAAGGGAAAGGGAAAGGGGAAAGGGAAAGGGGAAAGGGAAAAGGAAAGCTTTCTGCCTCCCTTCAGCCCCCATGTTTTCCCAACCTTTTCACACCCACTGCTGCCATCACTGCTGGCTTAAAGGAGGCCCCAGACACTGACGTGGCTGTCCAGGTACACCATCCCTCTCTCCCAGACTTAGTGGCTGTAACTGCAAGAACAACTGATGCCTCGTGTCCTGTGACCAGACCTAAGTAGTGCTGCTTTCCCCTCACTTATTCCTTCCTTTTTTCAGCAGGATCTCTGCTTCCTGCTGATTTCCAACTCATGGTTCCTTATAGGAACATGACAGCTCCTGCACAGCTTGTGTATGTCCTTAACCCATAGATTCAAAAAACCAAGATGCAGCTGACAGCAGGAGCAGTGGAAATGATGCCGTGATGGTGTGAATACACAACAGCCCCAAGAGCACTGCCAGCACGTGGGCAGTGGGCAGGAGGTGGCCCTGGGGGCTGCTTCACCCCTGCAGGGTCACTCCTGTGCTCTTCTGCACCTTCCCCTGGCCCTGGGGGGAGGCATTTAAACCCAACCAGCACTGGGCAGCCTGCTCCGGCTGACCCTGCCTAGGCAGGAGAGGGGATGAGCCAGGTGACCCTGTGTTTGAGCAATGGGAATGTCGCAGGGTTGGCTCCTGTGTGACTGGAGTGGGTGGGCCCCCACATGCACCAACATTCCCCACTCCAAGTTTTCATGGGAACAAGTGGCGGATGAAGGGACAGAGGAGACGCAAAGCACTGCTGTCCACTCTGGGACGTGGCCTGGGCTCTCAGTCTGCACCGGGAACACAGCAAGGCAGGTCCCGACCCATTTTTGCCACTGTGGCTGTTTCCCCCTGCTCTGTTTATACACATCCAGTTTGTTCTCTCTCCATTTCCTGGCGAGGACCCTCTCCCGAGAGCTGCCGTGGTTTTTTAATAAGTATTTTTCAAGTAGCTGGCCGAGACCCCGGGAAGGATAATGAGATCATTCCCAGTGCGGAATGCAAAGCCTGCAAGCCTGTGCCAGTTGTTGTCGCTCCCGGTGGACTCTGCCCACGCTGCCGGTATTGCTGTTGCTGTTCCTCATCCCAAACACAGGAGCGTGCCCCGGGCAGCACCTGATGGGATCGGGCCAGGGTACAGCTCCCTGCCAACAGGAAGACCTGGGAATTGTCACTGAAACCGCCCAGAAATAAGCTTCAAGGCTCATTAAAATTCTACCGACGCAAACGCCGATCCCATTCACGAATCCCATTCCCCTTTCAGGACCCGCTGGCCCTCTACCGGCCACAGGCTGCGGCCGCGCTGCGGCGGGGGCACCGGGCACCCCAATCGCCGCACGGGTACC